TTTTTTTTTTTTTTTTTTTTTTTGACTAGAAGAATAAGATCAATTAGGAATCTTTTTTTCTCATCGTATGAATGTATTTTATTGTCCATCGCGCGCGTGTTTGTTGACTGTTCAATCAACCCAGACTGTTTTCATGAAAAAGGAGACAAGTTGCAGGTATCGTGATGGTGGCTCGAAATTAATCATGAATTCTCGCGTAAGTGGAAATTGTATTTGAATCGCGTGTGCCCAGTTTTATTTATTTGCTTGGAAATTTGTTAAGAATTTTTTTCTCTGCGTATAGATTCTGTCATAAGGAGAAGGGAATTGTTTAATTGAATTGCGTGTGCCTAATTTTGAGAAAAATGAAGCGGATCAAAATTATCAATCAAGTATTTTTTTCAAAAAAGAAGCATTTATTTTCTTGGAAATTAATTAACAATTTTTTTCTGCGTATGAATTTTTGCATAAATGGAAATTATATTTAAATTGCGTGTGTCCAATTTCGAGAAAAATTAAACAGGTCATTAAACTAATCGAGATTTAATCAATCAAGAATATTTTTTTAAAAAAAGGACTTACTTGGAAACTTAATAAAATTATATATTATATAAGTGAAAATTGTATTTGTGAAACAGTGTTTGAATTTCGTATGTTCAATTTTGAGAAAAATTAAGCGGAAGAAAAATCAAAAGTAAATCAATCAAGATTATTTATTTTCTTCAAAAAAAGAAGCCCTTATTTTCTTGGAAATTAATTAACAATTTTTTCTCGCGTAAATGGAAATTATATTCAAATTGCGTGTATCCAATTTCGAGAAAAATTAAAACTAATCAATCAACTATTTTTTTTTTTTTTCAGAAAAAGAGGACTCACTTGGAAATTAATTAACACTTTTTCCTCGCGTACGTAATCAACGTTCCCTTAAATAAAAATTAATTTCTTTCTTCTTCCTCGATCTTCTTCACGAATCCTTCGAGAATAACCACGTTTTACTCTCCTTTTTTAAAACAGGACCACGATTGACAAAACCTCGGATTGATGAAATCAAGTTTAATTAACCGAAAGTGTTTTCGATGGTTGAAAGCTGAGGATTTGGAGGAAAATAGTGGGTGGTTCGGTTCCGGAAGCCGGGAAAACATTTATTTAAAACGCGGATCAACGTCGGATCGGATCGGATCCAGTAGAGGGGGGAGGAGAGGAGTCGAGAGAGAGAAAGAGAGAGAGAGAGAAAGAGAATCTCCCCTGTAGAGATTACTACTCCACTAGTCCTGCCAAGAAGAAGGAGGCAAGAAGGGTACACAAGTCGGAGGGAGGGACTTCTTAATGAGATTAACCAACCCGACGACAACCACTCTACGGTTAGATTTACATTTTATACATTTTTTAAGCGGTCTTACATCCCCCATCCCCCACTTCCTTCTTAACCAAACCGAACCATCTCTCTTTCCTCCACGAGAGAGAGAAAGAGAGAGAGAGAGAAGTTTGAAGATTTCCAAAGAAAGGAGAAGAAAGAGGAGAGGAAAGAGAATGTCAAAAAATCTAATGAAGAAAAGGAGAGATCAATCCAAGAGCCAAGAAAAAGAAAATATTTCTATATTTCTAGAAAAAGAAGAAGAGGATCTCTAAGGAAGCAAAATTTTTAAGAAATAGATTAGAATAAACAGGAAGGAAAGAATCGAGAGAGAGAGAGAGAGAGAGAGAGAGAGAGAGAGAGAGAGAGAGAGAGAGAGAGAAGTTCAATCCAAATTCAAGCCAAGAAAAAGAAAATATTTCTAGATTTCTAGAAAGAGAAGAAGAGGATCCATCCCTAAGGAAGCAAAATTTCCTAAAAAATAGGTTAGAATAAACAGGAAGGAAGAAGTAGAGAGAGAGAGAGAGAGAGAGAGAGAGAGAAAGAGAAAAGTTTGAAGATTTTCAAAGAAAGGAGAAGAAAAAGGAGAGGAAAGAGAATGTCAAAAAATCTAATGAAGAAAAAGAGAAATCAATTGCCAAGAAAAAGAAAATATTTCTATATTTCTAGAAAGAGAAGAAGAGGATCCATCCCTAAGGAAGCAAAATTTCCGAAGAAATAGGTTAGAATAAACAGGAAGGAAGGAGTAAAGAGAGAGAGAGAGAGAGAGAAGTTTGAATTTCCAAAGAAAGGAGAAGAAAGAGGAGAGGAAAGAGAATGTCAAAAAATGTAATGAAGAAAAGGAAAAATCAATTGCCAAGAAAAAGAAAATATTTCTATATTTCTAGAAAGAGCAGAAGAAGATCCATCCCTAAAGAAGCAAAATTTCCTAAGAAATAGGTTAGAATAAACAGGAAGGAAGGAAAGAGAGAGATGTTCAATCGCCAAGAAAAAAGAAAATATTTCTAGATTTCTAAAAGAGAATCCATCTCTAAGGAAGCAAAATTTCCTAAGAAAAGAAGAATTTCCTAAAAAAAGGATGGAATAAACAGGAAGGAAAGAATCGAGAGAGAGAGAGAGAGAGAGAGAGAGAGAGAGAGAGAGAGAGAGAGAGAGAGAGACGGTCACGGTGTGTTTTGTAGATAATTGGAAAGCGGCTCACCTCGTCGAGGGGACAACCGGCCGAGACGAGAAGCGCGTGGCTGTGTAGCAACAAGAGTCTCAACAATTTGTTCCTGACCTCGGCGGCGGGACTCGGGGGCGGTGGCCTCGACCTGTACACTTGGATCTTGAGCGTTGCGACCGACGTCAACTCGGCCAATATGTCGCCCACCGTCAACAGCGGGCCGTCCGCGACTTTCTCCATCGGCAGAGGTTTCCAGTTCCTTATCACGATACTGCCCCTCGCGCTTGGTATCAAGTCGCTCGAGTATCCAAGCCGCACCAGAGCCTCCCCCACCAGATCCTGATGGCGTGATTGTATAGAGAATTGTAGAGAATTATTTTTATCACTCTAAGTTAAGCAAGGTTCTAAGAAAGTTTTGAAATTTTATTTATATGTCCTGATGGCAGTTATAGAATTATTTTCACTTTAAGTTAAGCAAGGATCTAAAGAAGTTTTATTTGTTTTGTTTGTTTTTTTATCCTAGTGGCTTGATTATAGAATTATAGAATTATTTTTAATTCTAAGTTAAGGAAGCTTCTAAGAAAGTTTTGAAATTTTGTTTGTTTGTCCTGGTAGCAATTATAGAATTATAGAATTATTTTTATCACTCTAAGTTAAGCAAGGTTCTAAGAAAGTTTTGTTTATTTTTTATCCTAGTAGTTATAGAATTATAAAATTATTTTTAATTATCACTCTAAGTTAAGGAAGCTTCTCAGGAAGTTTTGAAATTTTGTTTGTTTGTCCTGGTAGCAATTATAGAATTATAGAATTATTTTTATCACTTTAAGTTAAGCAAGGTTCTAAGGAAGTTTTGAAATTTTATTTATTTGTCCTGATGGCAATTATAGAATTATTTTTATCACTTTAAGTTGAGCAAGGATCTAAGCAAGTTTTATTTGTTTTTTATCCTGGTGGTTATAGAATTATAAAATTATTTTTAATTATCACTCTAAGTTAAGGAAGCTTCTAAGGAAGTTTTGAAATTTTGTTTGTTTGTCCTGATGGCAATTATAGAATTATTTTTATCACTCTAAGTTAAGCAAAATTCTAAGAAAGTTTTGTTTGTTTTTTATCCTGATGGTTATAGAATTATAAAATTATTTTTAATTTTAAAATCATTCTTAAGTTAAGCAAAGTTCTAAGGAAGTTTTATTCGTTTCTATTGTTTATCCTAATGACAATTATAGAATTATAGAATTATTTTTATCACTCTAAGTTAAGCATAGTTCTAAGGAAGTTTTGAAATTTTGTTTATTCATCCTGGTGGCAATTGTAGAATTACTTTTATCACTCTAACTTAATAAAGTTTCCAAATTTTCGTTCATTTGTTTGTTTTTTTTTTTTACCTGGAAAGGCATAGCCACTGGAATGATGACGTACGAGTCGGTCTCCACCTGAGGCCTACGCCAATTCTCACGAGAGTTGCTCACGTGCGTCTCGACGATATTGTGTATGGTCTCGACCACGCAGTGGACCGGAAGATTTTTCCCTGGAACAAAGAACAGGAGGAGGAATAATTATCAATCATTTTCCCTCTTCAATGATTCTTCAATTTATTCTCCATCTTATTTATTCATTTAATTATTTTTCTCTTTCTCTCATACGAGTCTATTATCGATTAAACTGATAATTTTTTTTTTTTTTTTCCTTACTCTCATTTCGCGGAAGTTGGAAAACACTGTGCTCCAGTGGAATACAATCGAGCCGGTTCCCCGACAATACTGTCGGGGCCGACAATGGGTACGTATCACGGTATCAGGATTTGAATTCGACGAGGGTCCAGATGATTCGTGGAACGCTGAAGATCGCCTGGAAGAGAGAAGTCTCTAACTCTCGTGCTAAGCATATGCAGATCCACTCGTCTATCCCGAGACAATAAGAGCCCGGGTGATGGCACAATAGCTGCGATCCTTGTGTAACCCTGACTTAAGTCCCCGAGTCTATCCCACTTCAGGTCGTAATCCCAGACTTTCTACGAAACCGAGAACGGAAATGGAGAACGAGGAGGAGGAGGGGATGATGCGAAAGAAGGAGAAGGAGAAAGGGAAAGGAAATTTCGGGATCGCGGAAATTTCGAATCCCCGAGAAGGGGAACAGCAAGAGTGGAGAAATGGATGATGATGCTTGTTAATCGAGAAACGATCCAAAGATTGAAAGCGCGAAAAAACGAGACGATACGCCGAATGCTAGTCATCCCGGAAGAAGTGCATCTCGTGTCGAAACTTTTTATCGTTTTGTTTAGCTCTGTTAACCAGCTAGGAAATGGAAGAATGATTGTTCGAGATTGTTCTATATTTAGCTTGATAGTTTTAGTTTTGTGGAATGATGTAAATTATGATGTGCGAGGATATTCTTGTAGAGAGAGAGAGAGAGAGAGAGATAGAGAGAGAAATTGGAAATTGAGATATTTGATGTGGATATTTAACAGGAGATTCAGTATTCTTTGGTATTCTGTGGTATTTGATATTTTTACATTCTATGGTTTCTTTTTTTTTTTTTTTATAGGCAATATTTTTTGGCAATAGTATTTTAGAGTGACGATTTCTTTGATTGTATTCTACTGATATTTTACATTTTTACATTTATTGGTACATTCTGTTTTTTTATAGATAATATTTTTTGACAATAGTTTTAATACAATTTTATCATATATATTAGTTGCAATATTTTTTGGTAACAGGGGCATTTTTTTGATATTCTATGATATTTTATAGTACATTCTGTAGTTTTTTTTGGTTTTATTATGGCTTTTTTATAGTGACAATATTTTTTGGCAATAGTATTTTATAGTGACGATTCTTTGGTTGTATTCTACTGATATTTTATAGTACATTCTGTAGTTTTTTTATAGGTAATATTTTTTGACAATAGTTGTAATAGCATTTTATCATAATTGCAATATTTTTTGATAACAGGAGCATTTTTTTGATATTCTATGATATTTTATAGTATTTTATAGTATTTATAGTATTTTTATATTTATATTAGTATATTTTATAGTATGGTTTTTTTATAATGACAATATTTTTTGGCAATAGTATTTTAGAGTAACGATTCTTTGGTTGTATTCTACTGATATTTTATAGTATATTCTGTAGTTTTTTTATAGGTAATATTTTTTGATAATAGTTATAGTAGAATTTTATCATAGTTGCAATATTTTTTGATAACAGGGGCATTTTTTTGATATTCTATGATATTTTATAGTACATAGTATGGTTTTTTTATAATGACAATATTTTTTGGCAATAGTATTTTATAGTGACGATTCTTTGGTTGTATTTTATTGATATTTTATAGTACATTATGTAGTTTTATATACATTATAGTTTTATATATAGTACATTATGTAGTTTTTATAGTACATTATTTTATGTAGTTTTTTTATAGATACAATTTTATCATATATATTAGTTACAATATTTTTTGGTAACAGGGGCATTTTTATGGTGGTATTCTATGATATTTTAATACATAATATGATTTTTTTATAGTGCCAATATTTTTTGGTAATAGTATTTTATAATGGTGAGTTCTTTGGTATTCTATGATATTTTATAGTTATAGCACCATATACTATGGTTTTTTATAATATTTTTTGATGATAATATTTTATAATTCTTTGGTTGTATCCTACAGATATTTTATAGTATATTCTGTAGTTTTTATAGATAATATTTTTTTTTGGCAATAGTATTTTATAATACCGATTTTTTGGTATTCTATAGTATACTGATATTTTATAGTTATAATACTATATATAATACTATTTACTATGATTTTATAATGACTATATTTTATATAGTATTTTATAATGCCAATTCTTTGATGGTTTTTTCTATGATATTTTATAGTACATGGTATGGTTTTCTTCTAATGGCAATACTTTTTGATAACAGTATTTTATAGTGCCGATTTTTTGATATGTTATAGTACACAGTATACTTTTTTTCTAGCAATATTTTTTGATAACAGTATTTTATAATGATGATTTTCTTTGACGATATTCTATAGATCAATAACTATTTTATAGTGATGGTATTCTTTAATATTTTCAATATTTTTTGACGACGATATTAGCTATAGTAACGGTATTCTTTTAATAATGACAATCCATTTGTCTCGTAATAGCACTCTCTATAATATTTTCTATCCTATTCTCTATTCTAACACTATTCCAAGATAACGTACAAATACACTTCCATTCCTCTCAATCTTACAATCTCGTTTCCCGTACTCTCCCTCTGATTCTTCGCATTAATAATAACCATTAATTACAAACCAAACGATCATTTCATTCTTAAAAATGAAACGACGAACGTATAAGAAACGAGGAACGGAGGGGGGCAGGGAAGAAGGCGACATATTCGGATCCCCGGTTGATAAGACGACATATTACGAAAGAGGAGGCGGACCAGATTACAGATTCGCACGAAGGAGGGTTTGCTAATAAACAGACCGCATAATACGGTCTGTCCGTGGTCAAATCTGCGGAGTTGGAAGCCTACCTTAAACCAGCTGATCCCCGTACAGAGACGTGTACGTCCGGGACGAGGGCACCTTAATGAAAACTATACGTCCCTGGATTAAGGTGGCCACTGGCCAGCAGCCTCCCCCTCCCCTCTCCTGTCTACGCGACCTGTCTTATGCAACCCAGACCCCTATGGCCACCGTATTAGATAGGAAGTTTAGGCCATTAATACCTAATATCGTGCCCACCGTACCCAGAGTAAATCCTTTGTTGGCCATCTTACCGACAGACTTAGCACCTTAGCATCGGCCATCATTGATATATATATATATATATATATATAAAAGGTATCGCGGTATATGTCCGGTTTATGATTTAATATCGAGTAAGTCGATCAACGTTGGGAGCGGGGTTGGGAGAGTTGTCGGATATACGTGAAAATTTGTCTGGTAATTTCGAAATTTCTTTTTCTATTCGGTGCAGTTTGTAATTCGTGTGTAAAAGTTTTCGAAAGATTTTGGAAGGAGGAAATCGAGTTATATAGGATATATAGATATATATATATATATATGTCGNTTATATATATATATATATAATAGGTATATATAGATATAGATGTCGATTTATTATTATATAGGAATTATTATTCGTTGGAAGGTGATTGAAAGATTGAACTCGATTGTCGAAATGATCGATATTTCGTGTAATGGTTTTATAAAGTTTTCGAAAGATCGTTGGAAATCGATTAATTTTGGAATTATTGTTAGAAAATGATCGAAAACGAGGATGAATTTAAAGAAATGATCGATATTTCGTGTAATGGTACAAAATTTTCGAAAGATCGTCGGAAATCGATTAATTTTGGAATTATTATTAAAATGATCGAAAACGAGGATGAATTTAAAGAAATAATGAATTTAAAGAAAAAAAAGAAAAAATTTAAAGAATTTAAAGAAATGATCGATATTTCGTGTAATGGTACAAAATTTTCGAAAGATCGTCGGAAATCGATTAATTTTGGAATTATTATTAAAATGATCGAAAACGAGGATGAATTTAAAGAAATTCGATATTCCATGCGGTAATGATACAAAGTTTTCGAAAGATCGTGAGAAATAAATTAATTTTGGAATTATTATTCGTTAAAAAATAATCGAAATTAAATAAGAAATGATCGAAAACGAGAATGAATTTCGAGAAAAGATTCCGTATTCCATGTGATAAACAAATTTTTCGAAAGAAATTAATTAATTTTGGAATTATTATTAATTGGAAAATGAACTCGAAATTAAACAAGAAATGATCGAAAACAAGGATTTAGAGAAAAAATCGATATTCCATGCGATAAACAAATTTTTCGAAAAAAATCAATTTTGGAATTATTATTCGTTAAAAAATGATCGAAATTTAACTCGAAATGATCGAGAACGAGAATGAATTTAGAGAAAAGATCGATATTCCATGTAATAAACAAATTTTTCGAAAGAAATCAATTAATATGGAATTATTATTCATTCGAAAATGAACTCGAAATTTAACTCGAAATAATCGAAAATGAATTTAGAGAAAAGATCGATATTTCATGTGATAAACAAATTTTTCGAAAGAAATCAATTAATTTTGGAATTATTATTCGTTAAAAAATGATCGAAATTTAACTCGAAATGATCGAAAATGAATTTACAGAAAAGATCGATATTCCATGCGATAAACAAATTTTTCGAAAGAAATCAATTAATTTTGGAATTATTATTAGTTTTTAAAACGAACTCGGTATTAAACTCGAGAACGAGAATGAATTTAGAGAAACGCTCGATATAAATCCCGCGTAATATAAATGGTGGAAAAATTTTCGAAAGATCGATTGAGAAATCGATCATCGTCTTTTTTGGTTCCTTAACCTAAAAAAATAAATTATTATTCGTTCGTAAAAAATCGATCGAGCACGGGAACGAATTAACAGAAACGGTCCAGATACTTCGCGGGATAAAAAGTTTTCGATTCGCGTGCGAAAAGAA